ACAGTTATAAACATGCTTGATATTAATCCAAATATATCAAGAAACACTCTAAATGTGAGTGGTCAAACTACATCAACTGAAGACAGAATTTGTCAGAATGAATTTAAAAAACCCAACTAGGCCCAGCGCGGTGGCTTATGCCCTTTATCCTAGCACTTTGAGAGGCTGAAGTGAGCAGATCATTTGAGCCCAGGAGTTTGAGAACAGCCTGGGAAACATGGTGAAACCCCATCTCTACAAAAAAATATAAAAATTTGCCAGGTAGAGTGTCATGTGTCTATGGTCTCAGCTACTCAGGAGGCTGGGATGGGAGGCTTGATTGAGCCCAGGAGGCCAAGGGTGCAGTGAGCCATGATCATGCCACTTGCACTCCAGTCTGGGTGACAGAATGATACCCTATCTCACTCCAGCCTGGGTGACAGAATGAGGCCCTATCTCAACAAAAAAGAAAAAAAAAAAACCCAACTACATGTTGTCTACAAGAAGCCCAGTTTAAACATAGGACTGAGAGGTGAAACATAAAGCAATGGAGAAAGATATGCTACACTAATGAAAAGAAAGCTGGAGTAGCTATATAATTTTAGACAGAGCTGACTTCAGAACAAAGACAATACCAGAGATAAAAAGGGGCATTACATAATAATAAAGGGAACAATTCTCCAACACAAAAAAATCATAATTATTTATGTACCTAACAATAGAGTGTCAACATATGTAAGGCAAACACTAATAGAAATGAAAGGAGAATAGACAAAAATCCATTATTAGAGTTGCAGACTTCAATAACCCCTCCTTCCAGTCAGTAATTGATAGATTAAGCAGGCAGAAAATCAATATGGATATAGTTGATCTGAAAGGCAATACTAATCAGCTTTAGCTAAATGACACTTGACCTAATTTACAGAACATGCTCAACAGCAGAACATCATTTGTTTTTTAAGCTCACATAGAAAATTCACCAAGACAGAACATATTCCGGTTCATAAAAGATACCATGACAAACTAAAAATAACAGAAATCATAAGTATGCTCTCAATAAAATTAAACTAAAAATCAGTAAGAGGAAGATAGATGGAAAATATATCTGGAAATTAAACATACTTCTAAATACCACAACTCAAAGAAGAACTCTCAAGAGAAATGTAAAAATATTTTGAAATAAATGAAAATATAACACATCAAATTTGTGGGACAATATGATATAGCAAATGATAGAAATCACAAGTGCGCTCTCAATAAAATTAAACAAGAAATCAATAACAGAAAGGTAGATGGGAAACTCAAATATCTGGAAATTAAACATACTTCTAAATGACACAATTCAAAGAAGAATCCTCAAGAGAAATGTAAGAATATTTTGAAGTAAATGAAAATACAACATATCAAATTTGTGGGATTCTCCAAAGCAGTGGTTAGGGAAAAATTTCTAGCTTAAATGCATATGTGAGAAAAGAAAAATCTACAGTCAATAATCTAAGCTTTCACATTAGGAAAATAGAGAAAGAGGAGTAATTTAAGACTATAGAAAACAGAAGAAAAGATATAATAAAAATTAGAGAAGAAATCAACGAAACTGAAAACAGGAAAACAACAGACAACAGAAGAAATCAGTGAAACCACAAGCTGGTTCTTTAAAAAGAGTAGAAATAGGGGAGGGAGGGTGGAGGGTGGGGAGTTGGGGATAGATAGCAAGGGGAGAGATGCCAGGTGTAGGTGATGGGGAGGAAGGCAGCAAATCACACTGCCACGTGTGTACCTATGCAACAATCTTGCATGTTCTTCACATGTAGCCCAAAACCTAAAATGCAATAAAATAAATAAATGGGAAAAAAAAAGAGTGAATAAAATTGACAGATTGCTTGCTAGGCTAAGAACAAAGGAAGAAGACAAATTAACATATCAGAAATGAGGCCAGGTGTGGTGGCTCACCTGCAACCTCAGCACTTTGGGAGGCTGAGGCTGGGGGAATCGCTTTGGCCCAGGAGTTTGAGACCAGTCTGGGCAACATAGCAAGATCTCGTCTTTACAAAAAAATTTTAAAAAAGAAATGAAGGTTGAGTTATCATTATTGATCCCATGGACATTAAGAAGATAATATGAACAACTCTATGCCTACAAATTTGTTAACATAGATGAAATGGACCAATTCTACAAAATAAAAAAGAAATTTAAAGGGAAATAAAACATATGCAGATTGAAAAGGAAGAAATAAACTGTCTTTATCTGCAGATGACATGACTGCCAAAGAACTGACAAATGCCTGGTGCAAAGTCCCAGGATACAAGATTAATATAGAAAAGTCAGTTGCTTTCCCATATACTAGCAATGAACAATTGGAACTTGAAATTTAAAAATACCATTAAAATAGTAGTCCCCAAATGCAGAATGTGTCAAGAGAATTTTAAGGTATCACAAATGTGTGAAACAACCTCAGTGAAAGGGATGGGGGAATAAGGTACTGACATAGGTAAATTTGAAAATGAGTGGAGTCTGTAAGACTAAAGGCAAAAGGAACTGTACATAGCACTCCACTCCAGTTGATAAAATTGTTATCCACAAGGGTACAGGTTAACAATTTTGAAACCACTATATATTTATACGATTAATAAACAATAAAATGGATGGCAGATGGTAGGAGACAGGTTTCTCACAGTTGGAGTAGAAGGTTACAGATAAGGAAGGGGAGGCTAGAATGATCCATGCAGTAACAGACTGTAGTTGGAGACACCAGTATAAATTCATGTTTAGCCTTATATAGATACGAATGGTTATATATAGAAATATTTATATTTCTATAAATACTTTATGTATAGGTATTCTATACAGATATATCTTTTTGCTATATCAACTGAGAAGGCCTAGAAGTAATGCTATCTCAGTAGCAATGAGTATATCTAGCACCCAGATCTTGTTTTTCTAACACCATTGTCCAACATAAGATGCCAGGGAGACTTGGAGAAATGATTGATTCTAGGACTCGGGCAAAAAAGAAGAAAGATAAAGCTATAGCCATCTTGTAGTGCCAGAATGTAAGTACTAAAAAAACCCATCTACAACATAGCAATGGGGGCATGTCAAATGAATACAGGAGCCAAATGAAAGCTCCCAGTGACCAAAGCTGGAACAATTTGAGCAAAGGCATGTAAAGTGGTATTGCATTCATCCAAAATATAAAATAGTCATGAGTCTACGCTGATACAAATAAACTGAATATATAAATAAATGGGAAAGAAGAGTCAAATATCCTCTGCAGAAGGATTCCAAGTAATTTTTGTTAATAGCCTGCCTTCAAGGAAGTAATAATGTCCCACTCCTTAAGTGTGGGCTGACAAAAGTGACTTTATTCCAAAGAATACAGTACAGAAAGGGAGAAATAAAACTTTACCTTGGAGAAACCTGACAAACACCACTTCAGTCAGGTGACCAAGGATAAGAACAGTGGTAAATATATTGACGGTATGTCTCCTTTATAAGATATGATGAGAATGGCATTTCTGTGGTCTTCTTTGCAAAACACGTAACGCCTGTGTGATCACAAGACAAAAATCAAGCAAACCCATTTTGGGACATTATACAAAATAGCTGACCAATACTTCTCAAAAGTGTCAAGGTCATCAAAAACAGGAAAAGTCTGAGAAACTCTCACAGCTAAGTGGAGCCGTTGGAGATATGATAACTAAATGTAACCTGAATAGGATCCTGGGACAGGAAAAGGACATTAGGGGAAATCTGAATAAAGTATGTACTTTAGTTAATAATAATGTATCAATATTGGTTAATTGTGACAAACGTACCATACTAATGTAAGATGTTAATAATAGGGGACAGTGCATATGGGATACTCTGTACTATCTTTGTAAAAATCTGTATATTTAAAACCATCCTAAAAGTTTATTTAAAAAAAAAAAAAACACTGTAAGCAAATAAGCTACTCAAGATCCAGGGGGGAAAAATCACATAGGTACATGGGTCTGTTAAATGGTAAAGCAGGGCTTAACAGAAATTTCCTGGGAGACAATTCCTAAGAAAAAAGTGTCAGCAAACTAGAGATTAACAAATGAGAACAGCACAGCATCTGGTCACTCAGCTTTTTCTCCTGGCTCAATCTCCAGTATCTAAATCTGGTGGAAACAGCTATATGCAAAAATACACAAAAATCAACAAAAAACATGGAAAGGAGTGTTTTGTAAAAACTTTATAAAATATCAAGGCCCAAGTGGCAATTGTGTACTACCAATGTGGGATAGGATAATTCTATTGTAGGTAGAGAGGGAATTCACTTTTCTGTTGGGACATAGTGTTGCTTAGTCCATCATGATTTCCAGCCCACCAGCAGCAGCTGGGGCCTTAGGAGGGTACAGGATCCATGAGAAGGGGCACACTACCTGCCAAGTATGGCATTAACCAGGGAGAGTGGCACCCACCTCTCAGCTATCTGGACTTATTTCTGAGCACAGGTGAGACCTCCTTCAGCCCTCCCCCAAGTATCTGACTGGGTACTGGTTCTGCTAGTGCAAAGGGAGAGAGTAGGAGCCAGCCTAACACAGTTCATACATTCAATACCTTGATCTTCTCCACATCTCTAGGCTAGTTTTATGTCCGTTTCAGGTGTCAAGGCTGCCCCTTTCAGCAATGGAGCTGTAATAACCACTGGGTTGACTCCTCCAGCTTCCAGCCCCAGAGGTAATGCAACTTTTACCTATCATTCTATGTCCTGATAACAAGAATTTTAGGTATATCCACTGTCTTTATAAGTTCACTGGGCAGTGCGTTGGAATGCTTATGCACCATTTTCCAATGTTTTATCTTCCATTATCTTTTTGACTTAAGACATCTGTTTTTAGAGAAAAAGGGACAGATGAACAAAAAAGAACAGAAAAAATCACCCACAGATAGCCACTGTTAATCTTTTAGTGGACACAGCTTTCAGGATTGTTTTCTATACATAAATTACTAGGTAAGTATCTTGTAGTTTTAAAAAAATGTACTCATGCCATATATTTGGTTCTTCAAGTTGTGTTTTTTAATTTTACAATGCACCATAAACATTTTTCCATGTAACAGATGAAAATTTGCTACTGAGAACACCGCGTTGCAGTTGGGTCAAAAGGCTGCTAGTAACAGGCGGGATGCCTAAAGTATTACCATAAGGTTAAAGCACATGGTCTGGTATATGCCTGCCAGGGACACTACACATAAGGAATGTCTTCAATGTCCCTTCGTGGGGCCCTGCAGCCACCCCTGAACTCCCTTGGACCTCTAGGGTAGAAGGGGTCCTGTAAATTTCTTTGCATCCACAAATAGGCCCCCAATTTCTGTTTGCTTTTTCTCTTCTCATCCTCCACCTTAGCCATATTGTCAAATTCTCTTATCATGTCCTCATTGCTTAAATTCATATCGTGTATGGCCTCTTTATACTCCTTGAGGTAATGAGCCAGCCCCTTATTTGTTTTTCTTTTGGCTTTCCTGGGTACATCATCCTCAGCTGGGCGCTTCCCTGCAGCCCTTGTTTGACTCTCTGGTTCTCCCTCTCTCTCTGGTTTTCTCTCTCTCTCTGATCCTCCCTCCATCTCTGCCTCTCCTTCCTTCTCTGACTTTCCTTCTTCTTTTGCCTTTTCCTCACTCTCTGGCTTTCCTTTATCCTTTAACATTTCCTCATCTCCTGTCTTGCCCTTGTTTTCTGTCTTTCCCTCGTTTTCTAACTTCTCCTTGTCTTCCAGAGTACAAGCTACTTCTGGCTTTCCCTCGTCCTGTGGCTGTTCTTCATTTTCCATCTTTCCTTGGTTCGAAGGCATTCCTTCATTTTCATTGTAGAGTTTTTCCATGTCGAGATTTCCCCTCCTTTTCCTGTCCTGGGGGATGGGGGTGGAGGGAAGAGGAGACAAAGAGGAGACATGGGAGACTGAGAGTGTGGGGTGGAATGCAGGTCTGGACAGTACTTGCATCTCATCCCTGGTGACGGTTCCCCTAAACTGGACGTGCCTCCAAGAGGGCCTTCTGCCCACCACGTAGCCCACCACTCCTCCCACACACCTGAGCCAGCCATTGCCTGGCAGGTCCTGCCACCTTCTCTGCACTGGTTCAGCCTGGTAAGGTGCGTGTTCATGTGGGTGGGGGAATGGGCGGGGGCCCCAATTCGGCCCTGGCCAAGCCCTCCACACCCTCAACCCTTGTGGGCCCGTCCATGCAGTCCCCCCTCCTCACCCCGCTTTCACGGACCTGCGGGGATTCTGGACAGGTTGTTCCTCCTTTTCAGGCCTCGCAGAGCGCTAGGAACAACAGACCCGCAGACCTGCGGACAGACAGGAGACAGGGGTATGGGCTGCGCGCTCAGCGGGCTCACAGGAACTCGGCTCTCTTTTCTGAGTCCAGGCCCTGCTCACCCAACATTTTCTTCCCCTACCTCCCCTGCACCCCAGCCGCCATTTCTTTCCAGGCCTCGGCCACCAAACCAGGATGCTTTCCAAACTAAATTTGGGTCTCTGTGTCCTTCTCCTCAGAGGCAACTCTCCTAACCAGCTTCGCGATCAACGTTTTTCTCTACGCACGGAACGGCAGAGGGGTTTACTTCCACTGCCTCACTACTGGGGCGTCCCCAGCCCACCATCTTCGGCTCCAAAATGGACGAAGGGCAGAGAAGAAGATGTGCCTAGAAAGCGGGCATGGATACTTGGGGGTGCTCGCCTTCCTCACCCTCTGCCCACTGGTTGCTTGATCCCCCTCAGCCACCCTTAGCGGTTTTCCCACCGTCATCTCTGTCCACACTCGGGCCAGATTCCCTCGACCCGACCCCACCCCCAGCCTTTCCCCCTACGATACCCGTTCCCCTTCCGCCATTCTAGTGTTCCGCTAGCAGCGTGGAAGGCCCACATACTGACCTGGAAGAAGCTGGACCAAGAATTAGGAGCCCAGGGACCGGAGCATACGGGACCCAGCCACAGGGACAGAGGGCAGGCACTCGGACCGGTGCCCACATCTGCGCCCGGGCAGATCACGTGAACGCCGCAGCGTTGGAGTTCCACCGCCCCATGCCCCGCCTCCTGCCCAGCCGCTTTCAACCACCCACCACCTCTCTCCAGCAGGTACTTTCTCACCTCCCTGGGCCCTTTTGCCCTTTTCTTCTTGTTGAGAAATTGATCAAAGAAAGAATTTTAATGAAAATCACAACTTTTTTTTTTTTTTTTTTTTAATGAGTTGGACGGTCCGAAGGAGGATTCTTGATAATGTTGCTCTTAAATTCCATTGAAATAACGTAGACACACCCGGTAAAATCATATAAATGTGAACTTAAGTACAGTATAAAGAATAAATTATTGCACTTGAAAAAACTTAGGAAAATTTTTCCAAAGTAAATGAAATTGTCTCTTTTTCCTGACATGTACAAACATAAATTTTCGAATGAATTTTAAAAAGTTGTATTTGAACCAAACTAAAAGATCAATTAATTTATCTTCAGTGAGAAACTGAATATAGAAGAAACAATGACCAGACTATATTCAAAAATAGAACTGTAATCCACAGCCTTTGCTGCAAGCAGCTGGAGAATCCAAAGCATAGCATCTGCAGAAATTTTCAGGACTTTTATCAATTTGCTGGCCTTTCTGGACTTTTTTTTTTTTTTTTTTTTTGACCTGATGACCAACAAGAAAATCCCAAATATGAACCCCTACTCAATCACATAGGATGTTTGCCTCTAGCTGGCCTGCCTCTAGCTTCCTCACATCAACAACCTCCAATCAGAGTATCCTTGAAGTCTTTGTGGGTTTTTAAATTTTCCACTATAAAGCTTTCCCACTCCCCAACCTGCCTTTAAATCTCTTCCAGACTCAAATGATGGTAGGCTTGACTTCCTTGCTATACAAAAAGCTGTGAATAAGTAGCACTTGTTTGTTCTCTTATGCATAGTCTCCGTTTATCTACCGCCACATAAACTTTTGGTGTGTAAGACCTTTAAATATAGTCACATGCTGCTTAATAACAGGGATATGTTCTGAAAAATGCATCAGGCAATTTTGTGGTGGTGCGAACATCATAGAGTGTAGTTATACAAACCTATATGGAATAGCTTACTACACTCCTAGGCTATATACTATAACCTATCACACCAACCACCGTTGTAGTCTATGCTGTCCATTGTCATTGACTAATCGATAGGCAGAGTGACTATATAACAAAGAGACAAATGCTGATAGATTAGATTACATGAAAATTTGTAACAGATTTGTTGGACTGGGGACACATGCACTCTCCCCTGCTCTTGTTGAATATATTGGTGAAAATTTTCTGAAGATTAACTTTGTAAATTATTTTAAAATAAAAATATTGGCCAGGCATGGTAGCTCACACCTCTAATCCCAACACTTTGGGAGGCCGATGGGGGTGGATCACCTCAGGTCAGGAATTTGAGACCAGCCTGACCAAGACGGTGAAACCCAGTCTCTACTAAAAATATGAAAATTAGCTGGACGTGGTGGCTGGCACTTGTAATCCCAGCTACTTGGGAGGCTGAGGCAGGAGAGCCGCTCCACTTGAACCCATGAAGCCGAGGATGCAGTGAGCTGAGATTGCGCCATTGCACTCCAGCCTGGGCAACAGACTGAGACTAAGTCTCAAAAAAAAAATTTGATCTTTTGTGCCAGTAATTCCACTTCTAATAGTTACCCACAATGGTAATTTTCTTTCTTCAACTTTTATTTTAAGCTCAGAGGCACATGTGTGGGGTGTGAAAGTTTGTTACCTAGATAAACATGTGTCATGGTGGTTTGCTGAATAGATTATCCCATCACCTAGATATTAAGCCTGGCAGCCACTAGCTATTCTTCCTTATGCTCTCCCTCCCTGCCCACAACAGGCCTCTGGGCGTGTTGTTCCCCCATGTGTCCATGTGTTCTCATTATTCAGTTCCCACTTATAAGTGAGAACACACAGTATTTGGTTTTCTGTTCCTGCATTAGTTTCCTGAGGATAATGGCTTCTAGCTTCATCTATGTCCCTGCAAAGGACATAATCTCATTCCTTTTTATGGCTGCATAGTATTCCACAGTGTATACATACCACATTTTCTTTATCTAGTTTATCGTTGATGGGCATGTAGGTTGATTCCATATCTTTGCTATTGTGAATAGTGCTACAATGAACATATGTGTGCATGTATCCTTATAATAGAATGATTTATATTCCTTTGGGTATATACCCCAGTAATGGGATTGCTCTGTCAAATGGTATTTCTGTTTCTAGAACTTTGAGGAATTACCACAGTTTTCCACTATGGTTGCTGATTTACACTTCCACCCACAGTGTAAAACTGTTTCTTTGTCTCTGCAGTCTCGCCAGCATCTGTTGTTTTCTTTGACTTTTTAATAACAGCCATTCTGAGTGGCTTGAGTTGGTATCTCATTGTGGTTGTATTTGCATTTCTTTAATTATCAGCGATGTTGAGCTTTTTTTCATATGCTTGTTGGCCTCAAGTATGTCTTCTTTTGAGAAGGATCTGTTAATGTCCTTTGCCTATTTTTTAATGGGGTTGTCTTTTCTTGTAAATTTGTTTAAGTTCCCTGGAGACTCTGGATATTAGACCTTTGTCAGATAGATAAATTGCAAAAATTTTATCCCATTCTGTAGGTTTTCTGTTCACTCTGATGAGTTTCATTTGCTGCACAGAAGCTTATTAGTTTAATTAGATCTCATTTGTCAATTTTTGCTTTTGTTGCAATTGCTTTTGGCATTTTAATTATGAAATCTTGCCCGTACCTACGTACTGAATGATATTGCCTAGATTTTCTTCTAGGGCTTTTGTAGTGTTGTGTTTTACACTTAAGTCTTTAGTCCATCTTGAATTAATTTTTGTATATGGTATAAAGAAGGGGTCCAGTTTCAATTTTCTGCATATGGCTAGCCATTTCTCCCAGCACTATTTATTAAATAGGGAATCCTTTTCCCATTGCTAGTTTTTGCCAGTCTTATTGAAAATCAGATGGTTGTAGGTGTGTGGTCTTATTCCTGAGTTCTCTTTTCTGTTCCATCGATCTATGTGTCTGTTCTTATACCAATACCATGCTGTTTTGTTTACTGTAGCCTTTTAGTATAGTTTGAAGTTAGGTAGTGTGATGCCTCCAACTTTGTTCTTTTTGCTTAGGGATTGTCTTGGCTATTTGGGCTCTTTTTGTTTCCATATGAGTTTTACAATAGTTTTTTCTAACTCTTTGAAGAAGGTCAATGGTAGTTTAATGCAAATATCATTGAATCTATAAATTACTTTGGGCAGTATGGCCATTTTTATGATATTGATTCTTCCTATCTATGAGAATGAAGTGTTTTTCCATTTGTTTGGGTCCTCACTGAAATCCTCTCTGATTTCTTTGAGTAGTGGTTTGTAGTTCTCTTTGAAGAGATCCTTCACTTCCCTTGTTAGCTGTATTCCTAGGAAACTTATTCTTTTTGTAGCAATCGTGAATGGAAGTTCATTCATGATTTGGCTCTCAGCTTGCCTGTTGTTGGTGTATAGGAATGCTAGAGATATTTGCACATTGATTTTGTATCCTGAGGCTTTGCTGAAGTTGCTTATCAGCTTAAGAAGCTTTTGGGCTGAGACAATGGTGTTTTCTAGATATAAGAGAATCTCATCTTCAACAAAGATAATTTGACTTCCTCTCTTCCTATTTGAATACACTTTCTTTCTTTCTTTTGCCTGATTATCCTGGCCAGAACTTCCAATACTATGTTGAATAGGAGTGATGAGAGAGAACATCCTTGTCTTGTGCTGGTTTTCAAGGGGAATGCTTCCAACTTTTGCCCATTCATTATGATATTGACTGTGGATTTTTCATATATGGGCATTATTATTTTGAGGTATGTTCCTTCAATATGTAGTTTATTAAGAGTTTTTAACATGAAGGGATATTGAATTTTACCAAAGGGCTTTTCTACATCTATTGAGATTATCATGTGGTTTTTGTCTTTAGTGCTTTTTATGTGATAAATCACATTTATTGATTTCTCTATGTTGAACCAGCCTTGCATCCTGGGGATGAAGCCAACTTGATCATGGTGGATAAGGTCTTTGATGTGCTGCTGGATTTGGTTTGCCAGTATTTTATTGAGGATTTTTGCATCCATGTTCATTAAGAATATTGGCCTGAAGTTTTCTTTTTTTGTTGTATCTCTGACAGGTTTTGGTGTTAGGATGATGCTGGCCTTGTAATATGAAATACAAGGGGCGAGTCTTTCCTTTTCAATTTTTTTGTAATAGTTTCAGTAGAAGTGGTACCAGCTCTTCTTTGTACCTCTGGTAAAATTCAGTTGTGAATCTGCCTGGTCCTGGGCATTTTCTTTGTTGTTGTTGTTGTTAATAGGCCATTTATTACTGCCTAAATTTCAGAACTTATTATTGGTCTGTTCAGGGATTAAATTTATTCTGGGTTCAGTCTTGGGACGGTGTATATGTCCAGGAATTTATCCATTTCTTTTAGATTTTCTAGTTTATGTGCATAGAGGTGTTTATAGTATTCTCTGATAGTTTTTGTATTTCTGTAATATCCCCCATCATTTCTGATTCTGTTTATTTGATTTTTTTTCTCTTTTCTTCTTTATTAGTCCAGCTAGCAGTCTATGTATTTATTAATTTTTTCCAAAAACCAGCTCCTGGATTCATCAATTTTTTGAAGGGTTTTTAAAATATCTCTATCTCCTTCAATTCAGCTATGATTTTGGCTATTTCTAATCTTCTGCTGGCTTTGGGGTTTGTCTGCTCTTGGTTCTCTAGCTCTTTTAGTTCTGATGTTAGGTTAACTTGATATCTTTCTAGCTTTTTTATGTACCCAGAGAGATAATTAATACAGTGCTACAATAGTCTTATATTTGAAATTTTCACTTTGTGAGGCCAAGTTGGGTAGATTGCTTGAGTCCAGGAGTTTGAGACCAGCCTGGGCAACATGGCAAAACCCTGTTTCCGCAAAATTTACAAAATTTAGCCCATTGTGGTAGCATGCACCAATAGTCCCAGCGACTTGGGAGG